TATATTTCTGAGACTTTGTAGATCAAGAAAACCCCTTCATAATAACCCCTATGTTCTTAATCAAGCAAAATCAGCTTAATATTGGTTCCACTACACCCTGTACTTCCTGTCCATATTTTCTTTGTCCAGTTATTTTCTTCTGTCTTTAAATCCCTTTTCTCTGCTGACCTTTGTGCATTGTTCTGACCTGTGCTGCCATTTTTCTGGTATTCCCATTCTTGTCTGGTTCTATATTGTTATTAGAGAGCACACATTCTGACTATACCCTTAATATCTTTGTCTCTGCTGCCCCCTGCAGACCACCATAAGCACCGCGTCGCAGAGAGGAAGCTGTATGGAGTTGAGGGAAGCAGCACCTTCCTGGAGTGTATCCCGAAATCCCTTCAGGCCAGAGTCACCTGGACCTTCCAGAAACATCCACAGAACCCACGAGAAGAGGTGAGAAACATAAGTAGATGGTGGAAAGAGATGATGAACAATAGATTATAGAGATTTGAAAGAATCTGTCTGATGGGTACACATGGTCGGGAAAATGGGTCTTGTGACAAGCATGAACCATTTATCTCACATGACATTTGTTAAGAAAGCTCATTCAATTACTTTTAATTATATACTATTACTTACTACCTTAGTATAACTGGCAGCATTACTTTTTGCTGTTCTTATTTTAGCTTACCTATTTTATTTATACTTTTATATTATTGCTTTTCTACTTTTTTTCACACTGCATTTGTAAGGTAAGTCAATATCTGGCAAAAGAATTCCCTTTGGGATTGCTAAAGTTTTATCTTATCTTTTTTATGGTGGTCAAAACTGCCAAATATGGTGGATCAGTTTAGTCCACGTTTTTCCTGTTTGTTCCTAGCTTTCGTAAATACCATTTTTACACAAGAAATTTGTCGCTGAAGCATGTCCTTGTATAATAAGACAAAATGGTTCACATTTTCATTTAGCTGCTTCACATTATTTGATCATATTTTTGCCTTCCAGGTACGTCTAGATGACCGCATCCTCCAGACCGACAGAGGCCTTCTGATTCGTCGCGTCCTCAAGAGAGACGTCGGCATCTACCAGTGCCATGCGATGGAACACGGCTTCACCCAAACCTTACTGGGCATCACCTTGGAAGTTGTACCTTCAACATCATCCTCCGCCTCCAATCTACCCTCCGACGCCCCCGTTCGATTAGACCCCCGCAGTAGTGGTGGCTCCTCGATGACCAATCAAAAGCTTTGGTACCGGGACTTCATGCAGCTGGTGGACCACCCCAACCTCAGCACGGTCGACCAGATCTGCGAGCAGGTCTGGGCGCGCAAGAATGCTGGCGGCGAGGAGGCGGGTTTTCCCGCCACGGGGAAGGACATCCCGCCTCTGGGTCCCGCTGTCCGCCCGGCTAACAAGAAGTGGAAACATCTCCAGGAGATAAGGAAGGGGAGAAACCGCCGGACCCACGACGGGAAACCGAACCCTCGGGCGCCTCGCAGTGCAGGGGAGTAACGACGTAGAGGACGAGACGGAGGGAGGAAAGAATGACTGATACGAGAATAAGAAAGAAAACTGAGAGACCAAGAACTCCTGGAGGTGTTCATACATACAGATACACCCATGAAACACACACACACACACACTCACAGCACCTCCTCTATTGTGTATATTTATCTATGGATGCCCACACTATATGGTACCCCAGCCCTAACCCACCGGTCGGCCCCTGCATGTGCTGCCGTACTGCCCAAGTTGATTCTGCACGATCCCTTTACGCTGTTCCACTAGAATAGTCGAGTGTACCAGCAGATACGTGGGAGTGAACCCACCTTTATGCGTGGGCACCCGTCATTCCCTTTGCCACTGACTGGATATGGAATATGGATATGACCACATCTTTGCCTACTACAAACCAGCTGCACTTCACATGTGGCTGGTGGATCACAGTATGCACACTAACTCTCTGGACTGCACCACTCAAATACAGTTTTGGATGAACTCTCCTTGTGACTTTTCTTACCTGATGATTTAGTAAAATGGTGGACTCGATGGGAAGCAAATGGAGCAACATGACAACTGGAATATAGTTTAAGAAAAAGAAAGAAAAAAAAAAGGCAACTGGAATCACAAGACTATTTAATTGCACAAGCATGCAGGCAGAGAAACAGTTTTTTTTGAAATCTTTACAGAAACTGAATCGATCAACTCCCTGTGGTGCTCTCGTTGCACATATTTCCACTAACCTCACTTTTCACAGGTTTTGTGTGCACATCAAAAAATGCACAAAAGCGATAGGAGATGCCAGCAGCTTTGGGCGACCTGTGGAACAGATCAGCATGTTGCATAACTGGTTATAATATATTGTAAGTTTCCTTAGGCACATCGAGGCATGTCACAGCAAAATAAACCACACACACACACAATACAATGCTGGTGGTCACAGTGAGAGAGCAGCGATATGTGGCCAGATATGATTATATTGGTTTACTGGTCCAAACCACTAAGAGAATGAGTAGCGGAAAAAACTACTCGCATTCCATGATGTGAGAGGAAGATGACATGTTTACAGTACTCGGACAAAGCTGGTGCACAAACAAAATGCATCCCGGAAAGCAACTCAAGGCCCTTTCTGCAAGTTTTATGTGGCATCTTTTACAAAAACAAATTATCTGAGAAGAAGAATCCGAAACCTCCCTCGAAAAGTTGCTGTGTCCAATGTTTGGTGCATTTTGGATGAGAAGCAGGAAGAGGAAAGATTTTTTTTTTTTTAGCCAACGATGACAACCCATGTTTCTGGGCTACAGTATATATATTAGCATGATATTTATGAGTGAGACTATGATTTTTATTTTTTATTTTCTACTCTAAGCGGTACTTTATTTCTTTTACACTGTTCTTGCATATATCGTTTGTGATAATTAGATATGCAAATAATACGAAACGAGCGGAGTCCTCACTCAGCACGGTAAAATGCACAGAAAGCGGCTCTTCTGCGCTACCCACAATGCATTTTCACCGTTTGCAAAAAAGAAGAAAAGGAGAAAAAAAAATCCCATCCGACTTCATACACTGTTGTAATCACTTCTCAATGTAGTGCTACAGTCATCAATACCATTGACTCTTGCTGCTTAACGATGTCATTTCTACGTAATGGACAGTTAGTACGATAAGGTCTTCCTTCTCCATGTCTTAGTCTAATCTTTCTCTGTATTACCTGTAAAAAAAATTGTTTGTTGGTCGTCTGTGCTATCATGGTGTGTGTAGCCTGCCCCCTAGTGTCCATTGTGTGTACAGGCTCGGACGGAGAGCCAAACTGTGGTACGATCCTTTAATATATCATCGTCTATCCACATGAAAGATAGTAAACTGGCCTTGTAAGATAGAAAAAAAACAAACATTCATTTGCATTCATGGAATCTCAATATGATTTTTATGATGAACTTATTGGTCTAATTTGTGTTGCTGCCACATGGAATTGAGAGGAACTGGGCTGTGGCGACGCAGCATGAACTAGACCTGCGAGTGGATTTTTAGATGTATGGAATCATTGTCGTTGTTATTTATATACCTTCTTTATAGAGATGTAATTAACTCTTTAAACTGAACTGACTGACGCCTATAAAAGGGACACTCCGCATTTTGACACCACGTCCAGGAACAGAGCGCAACGGTGACGCTGAAATCTAAACTGATTTTTACCTGCAGGACGCATGCATGTGCCAACACCTGCGTATAAACAAGAGAACTAGTTGAGTTTAGACTACTAATCCACTACATTGAGAGATTAGAGTGGTCACTTGTGTAATTCTTTTGTTTTTATCAAAATAGATGATTCTCATTGGCAGTGATGTCAACCTTGCCCGAGTATCCCTTTTAAGCCAGCTGTTGTTTTGTGCTTGAAATTGCATGACCAATGTTAGTGGCTAACGCGTTCGACAATGGTGTGGTGGCAAGACGGAGAGCGAGAGAGAAAGAAAGCACAATGTTGAATATTATTATTATTCCTATGTATTTATGTGCAAAGATAAGCTGATATGTTGTGGTGGATTTTTATTTTTCTTATAAATGTAGATTTACATATGTATCGTTCATGTTCTGCTGAAAAAGGACTCATCCTCAACATTTGTTTTTTTTTGTTGTACATTGCAGCCAATGGAGAAAACTCTTCCTGAAGACAGTGTCCAATTAGAGTCTTTGTTGTTAAAAAAAAAAAAAAACAGCCCTCCAATCGACACTCCTGTTGTATCCCATGCCATGTGACGCACCCCTGCTCAATAGGAGAGGCTTGTGTGTGTGTGTTTGTGCGTGTATGCTTGTGTGTGTGCATGTGTGTGTGACAGAGATGTGTGTTTTTTGTGTGTGGGTTTCGGGGGAAAGCAGAGCTCTGTATATAATGGCAAAGGAACAGTGGTGTGTAGAGCAGGTCTGTAGCTGAGAGTTCAGAGGTCGAAGGCCAAAGTTAACGTGGTGCACTGTAATACTCCCAGGTCTTTGTGAAATGTCATGTCAGATTGTTTTTGATTAACACAATAAAAATATGCAGTTACTTCATGATATGTCTGTTATCTCTGTTGGACGTGCTATGTTTTTGCTCAGATTCAAAAAATAGTGAAGTACTGTTGTTAAGTGCTGGTAAAAGGTGTTTTACTTGAATATTTGCACTTTATGTGGCATCTTAGGAAAGTGTCAAGCAAATGTAGTGGAATTAAAAGTAGTTATTAGTTGCTTAGCAAATTCAGATTTTACTCAAGTTGGAACAACAAATACTTGTTCTCCTCTGTTAAAGAGAAAAGATAGAATTCAATGAACTATTATATGTTCATATTTTTGTGTCAGCTAAAATTTTTTTTTTTTTTAAATAACTGCTACAGATGAAACGACCCAGCAATATATAAAATAGTTCTAGTGCTGATTTTAGGTGAAACTAATGACTATTTGCTGCATACACGTTATTCCTTCAGTACAATAATATTAACAACAACAACAACAACAGTTAAAACAATGTCTGACTTTACAGAACAGAATAATTTGGTTCATGGACAAAACTTGTACCTTCACTGATGTAATGTTGATTTAAAATGCGTTATATTTGATGCTGCTGACAGGTTAATGCACTCATAATCATTTAATAATGCATTATTGTATAAAGTAAATACTTATATAGATCAAAGAGTGATACATTCAGATCATTGTATTCATAGTAATTTAATCAACCTTTTAATCTGCTTTGTCCCTTTGGATTCTAGATTTACAATACAATACAAGATTTGACCACATGGTGGCAGTATAAGATCTACAACTTTTATTAAAATCTATGCTGGTAATATTATGGTTGGGATTCATCATGTACAGGGCTGGAGAGGTTGTATGGTAATAAAGCACTTCAAAAGGTAGTGTAAATAATAAAAAAATTAAAATAAAAATCCCAGTAAATCTACCCGATTACCAAAGAGGTCATGACTAATATTACGTCTATGAAGTCCGTCACCTGTTCAGTAAGGATTAAAGTGTGTTAAGGTGCAAAGTTAGACAATAATTTAGGTAGTGCATCATTACAGCAAAATTAACTTAATAGTGATGAAGTCCTCTATGTGAAACCACATCTTGAAGCTTCAGCTCAGAATCACCGCTATTGAAACGTCTTGTGTTGGCCCATCTGGATACAAAACCCGGAGTCGTCTTGCGCCTTGAGACGAGACTATAACTGCTGTGGTATCACCAAACTGCCTACGTCTTGTCTTGCTTATTTGCCAACGTCACTGTTATTGGATGTAAACTTCCTGCTTCAAATGCAGCCCATAACTCGACTTGTTTACAGTTTTCACGGTCTTTATTCTTAGGTTTGTTTACTTCCTGTTCCATAGTAAAACTGCCTTTCATCGCGTGTCGTTTCTGTTTTCACTTCCTCCCTTTGTCTGTTCTTCCCTCCCTTTCTGATCTGATTGCCCTCATTACTTTCATCAGTGAATCATCTGTGTCTCGTCTCCCCAGTTAGTTCTCGGTATGTTCTGTCCCGTTTCTTCCCTTGTTCTTTGCCAGTTCTCCCTGTTTGACCTCCCCTGATGTTCACCTGCCTGATTTCCCTCCTGTTCCTCGTCTGCATCTGATTTGTGCGTTTTGTTTTTGTGCCATCTGCTTCCCTCGTGTACTCCTGCCTGACTGGCTCCTTGTGTTCACCGGGTTTGTATTTTTGTACCTTTTGTGGATTAGTTCTTCAGTAATCTCTGACATCTAGTTTACCAGTCGATCTTTGTTTGTTCCCTTGACAGTCTGCTCATCACCTTTTGGTGCAAGTTTTATTAAAGTCTTTTTTTGTTACCTTGATCTTCCCGACATATGTGAGTGTATTGTCAGGGAGAATTCAAATTGGACCTGGGTCCTTACTTGATATGTGTTACAGTTAACATAAGCTATTTTCCTATCTCTGAGAGGGCGGTCTTTCCATTTAAGACCAACATCTTTCCATTTTATGTTCAGAATAGCAGGAGCTGCAGCTTTTCCGTAGCTGGGTGCTGGATTTCGGTCAGAGTTGGGGGCCTGTCATCTGGCATCAGAAATTTAAGCTCAAACTGCCCCCAAGGCTGCGTGCTGAGTCCAAATCTCTACTCCCTATGACTGTGTGGTCACTCAGCAAACCTAATCATGTTGGTGTTCTTCTGATGACACCAGTCATAGGAACAATCACCAGGGGAGTGGAGACGGACTACATGGCTGAGGTGGTCAGGCTTGTGACGGGGTGTCAGGAAAACAATGTCTCCTCGAACACAAACAAAACCAAGGAGATGGTTGTTGACCTGAGGAGGAGGGAGGTGCTGCAATCCCCCATTTATATCAGCGAGACTGAGGTGGAGAGGGCGAAAACATTCAAATTCCTCGGTACACACATAAGCAGTGATATGACGTGGTCCCACAGCAAACGGCTGTACTTCCTGGAGGCTGAGGAAAGTTTGGGATGCCTCTCGAAATCCTCTGCAACTTCAATAGAGGTGTAGTTGAGGGTGTGCTCACCAGCGCCATCACTGTGTGGCATAGGAACTGCTCCCTGCAGGACAGGAAGGCTCTCCAATGGGTCATAAAAACTGCACAAAACACCTCTGGAGTGACTTTCCCACATTGCTGCAGGACATCTATACCAGTAGGGGCATCAGGAGAGCCCACAACATCCTTAAAGACCACACACACCCACAGCACACACTCTTCACACAGCTGCCCTCAGGGAGGCGTTACAGGAGTGTGAAATCAAGGACCACAAGACTGTCAAACAGTCTGAACAACTTTCATTCCTGGCTGCGTACACCACGTTGCTCTGTTTGTGTCTCGGTGTTTTGTCCTGAGGGTGGACAAGTTTCTGTCTCAGGGTGTTGGTGGGCTTGAAGTGCACTGGGATGTTGTGTTTATTAAAAATCCTCCCAAGCTTCTCAGAAACTCAGTCATCCCTTATGTTGCCACTGTTGTTTCGTTTCTTGATCTTGTCCTCTGTCCCCTCTGGGTTTAGTAGAGGATTTGATGAACTTGGGTAGCCACAGGTTTTGAGTGCTGTTTTGATGTGCTTCTGTTCCTCCTCCTTTCCTGCTGCCCTGGTAGGTACATTCTGGGCCCGGTGATGTAGGGTTCTGATGACTCCCAGCTTGTGTTCCAGTGGGTGGTGGGAGTCAAAACAGCAAATACTGGTCCATGTGGTTGGGCTTCCTGTGGATCTTTATGTCCAGGCTTCTGTCTTCTTCTATGTGCACAGCACAGTCCAAGAAGGCCAGACTCCCTCCTCTGACGTCTTCCCAGGTGAACTTAATGTTTTTGTCCAACGCGTTGATGTGCTCCGTGAAGGCTTCTACTTCCAGTGTTCTGATTTTAACTCAGGCGTCGTCCACATACCTGAACCAACCAGAAGCCTGCAAAAGAGGTCAGGGCTATGCTTTCTACTTCTTCCATTGTTCTGTCTGTAGAAACCTCCCTGGAACTGGAAATAGGTGGTCGTCAGGCAGAGGTCCAACAGAGCGCAGATGTGGAGAATAACCATGACCTGGATGACTGAGAATCTTTAGACATCTTTACAGGTTGTTGAGGTGTAACTGGGCCTTGGTTTTGATCTTGACCTCGTCTCAACTCCTACATGTCTTGGTCTTGTTTCAGCACACTCTGGTCTTAGTCATTTAGGTGGTCTTGACTACAACATCACTCCAAGGCACACATACACGTGTAAAATTATATTGTTAGCATTCAACTGAAGCATGATACAGAATAAAAACACCAACAGTAACAGCTCGTCTTACAGACAAAACCCAACTACACTGTATGTGTCCAGATTCATTTGATTGAATCTCTGTCTTTTGTGTTGGTTTTATGAATATCTGAAGCTGTGTCTTGCATGTGTTTCTCACAGCAGAATCAAATTATAATCTGATAATAAACCCTGCTGGGGCTGGGAAATGCAGCCGTGTGGAAAAGGAAGAGGAAAAGGAAGCACCTTTTAAGTTACTCACAGCTTTGTTGCCGTGTGACGATGTTTTCATCTCCTGCAGACCGAGGAGGATATTCACTCAGTCATGTCACGAATGCAAACAATCACATGTTTGGTTTGGCTGACAACTTAAAGTGAATCATTTGACAGATGACGCAAGCACGACAGAGGTACAGCAAATTAAAAAATTCCTAAAATCGTACAGGGTAACACTGTTGTACATTGTTAGGACACTTTGTGACTTTCATTCACGCTACAAACAGAAACCAAACATTAAGAAAGTCCTGCATGTAAAGGAAAGTTACGCATACATTACATGTGTTAGTTTTTTTCTGTTGCCTTCCTCCACCCTCTCCCATGTGTTTATCAGTGTCTCCATCTTTGACATTTGGACCCACATTCTTCATACTAATATCATCGCGAGCTGCCTGTCAGCTCCGAGAACACAGACACACACACTTGCATTCCTTTACACACGAAAAACATTCACATATGTTTAAATATTCACCGACTCTTACGCTCGCACAAAAGCAGTATGTGGTCACCAGTTATAAACACATAGGAAATGAAATTGGGTCCATATTACTCAAACTGGCAACCCATTAGTTCCCCAGCGGTTTTCAATGGCCCTCAGTGTTCCGTATGTGTTTTAAAATGGCTCTGCAGTGGTCCGTGGGGTCCTAATTGAGAGCTCATTTCCGTACACTGATTTTAACTGGGTACCACTTGCCATATTGTGTGAGTTTGTGTGGTTTTTAGACTTTCTGGATCTTTGTGAGGACTGAGGTTTAGACTTTAAGGGTGAGGAAGTGTTGTAAAAATGTACAGTTTCTCACTTTTTGCTTGTCTGTGGAAGGACGGAGGAACAAACTTTCCTTGTAGTTTAAGTCTTGTTTGAATTACATCCGTGACAATGTAAGTCCACAAAAGTGTGTGTGTGTTTGAAGAAAATGTGTCTGTTACCTCATTCAGGTACAATTTTTATGTGTCATGCAGGTGCCTCTGTGCCTTTCTCCACTGAAGCAAAACACATTTCCTTATATAGTTCAGTGTATCAGAATATGGGGAACGCAAGTTGGCACACAGTGGCCTCAGT